TAAACTCTTGTTATTCTGGGGACCATCTCTGAACTATAATTTTCAAAAACTGGCTGTGTTATGCTTTCAATGAAGTAAAGTGAAGAATTGCAAAGAACTGAAGTAAATAAGAGGCTCAGGAGTTTTATAGTCCTCCTAATATCCTTACAACTTGTCATGGGTTGGATGTGAAGTGTCCCTCAAAAGCTCATATGTGAGACAATGCAAGAAAGTTTAAAGGAGAAATGATTGGGTTAAGAGTGTCTTAACGAATCAGTGAATGAATCCCCCGTGGGATAAACTAAGTGATAACTGAAGGCTGGCAGGGTATGGCTGGAGGAGTTGGGTCCCTGAGGGCATGCCTTTGGGGTATATTTTGTTTCTGGCAGGTGGAGTCTCTCTCTGCTTCTGATCATCATCTGAGTTGCTTCCCACTTCTATACTTTTCCACCATGTTGTTCTGCCTCACCTCAATTCCCAGGAATAGGGCCAGCAGTCTATGGATGGAGACCTCTGAAACTGTGAGCCCCCAAATTAACTTTCCTCTTCTACAGTTGTTCTGGTCAAGTCTTTTAGTCAAAGCAGCAAAAAAGCTGACTAATCCACAACTGAAATAGTACTCTTTTGAGCTTAAATTGAAGGAACATTAAAACTTTGGAGACTGTGACTTTGGTTCCGAGTTCCCTTTCAAACTTGATTATGAGTATTCCTCAGACTGATGCCCAGCCACCAGTCTTCTGCTTTCTGTAGCTTCCACCTTGTAGGCTGCTGCTTTGCCATTGGCTTTGCTGATGTGGTCCTGTGGGAAATGCAATCCACTGCCAACTTCCAAGGCCCTCTCACCAGAGGGAACTTCACATGAAATCTGGATCATACCTCAAGTCTCAGCTGTCTAGAGAGTCTGTCTTGTGATTTGGATGTGGAATATCTCCCAAGGGTTTTCGTTTTGAGGGCTTGGTCCCCAGTACAGCAATGTTCTGAGGTAGGGCTCTTGGGATGTGGTTGGGTCACAAGAACTGTGACCTCAAGAATGGGTTAATCTTGTGATGAGTTTGTAGCTAATGGCATTATGGAATGTGACTCAAACTTCAGGTGGGCTCTAGATGGAGGAAGTAGGTCACTAGGGTGTGATCCTGCCCCTTCCTCCTCCTCCTCTCTCTCTCTCTCTCTCTCTGTCTCCTGGATATCACAAAGTGAGCAGCTTTCTTTCTACCATGAGGTTTCTGCCTCACCACAGAGTTGAAAGCTAGAGCCAGCCTACCATGGATGGAATGAAATCTCTGAAACTATGAGCCAAAATAAATATTTCCTTCTCTAATTCTTTTTTTTTTTCAGTTATAGCATCACAGTGATGAAAGCTGACTAACCCAGCCCCATAGCTGGTTTTGTGCTCTGCTATTATCCTTTTGACATCCTTGATAAATTTATTTTGAACATTTGTTCTGGAAGAAAATTCTAATGGGAAAACACAGCTTGTCCAGGGGTAGAGAAAATATGTCCAGCATACCTCCTCTTCTGTGCTGCCCCATTCCCTCACAGGTTTGTGAAGCCCCTGGGCACAGAACAGGGCAGAGGACAATGTGTGGGAGTTCCAAGACTCCAAGTGAGAGTGAATGTAGGTGGGTTATGTCTGTAACTGCGTGGGGTGCCATGGGTCAGGGTTGGGCCACACTTCCCGTTTGAACCAGGACCTGCTTCCAATACTAGAAGAAGCACGAATAAATGATCAAGAAACACTGATCTGTTGCTTCCCTACTGTGAATCAACCAGTTACACTAGAAATGATGGCACAGAAGGACAGAAAAGGGTAAGGCAAACTAGAATTTACTTTCATTTTTCCAGTCCTTGGTTTCTCACAGTGACCTAAAGGTAGAAACTATTGTTAGAATGTACACACGTCAGGAAGTGAAATAAAAAGTTGATGTGTAGTTTCTGCTATTTTGTTACGAATAGAATACATATGCAAAAGTTTGCATATACTAGTTACGAAATATAAACAGTATAATTCTGAGGATTCCACATGTGAGTTAAAAATCAGTGGTAAAATTCATATTAATAGTTCCAAGTTTTGATTTTACTTTACTTAGAACATTAATTAGCAAACCATGGTGAGAAATAAATGTTTGTTTTTTAAGCCACCCAGTCTATGGGATTCTTACTATAGGAGCTTGATCTAGGACACCTACTAATCTCAGTTCCTGTGAGCCTTTCACAATTTCATTCTTAATGAAAACAGGCTGAGAACGGCCTACATGTGTCCAGGGTTGGGTTTTTTTTTTTTTTTTTTTTTTTAACAACAACAACAAAAGACAGCTCCTCCAGCCTCTAGCCCTATCATTTCCTACTAGCAAGGACCTAACCCAATCTCTCAAGACAGTGAAGGAAACAAGAGGAAGTATCACATTAACCATTCCTTTATTTTCCTATTAGCTCCTAAGTCCAATATTCTCATCTCAGATTACCCTTAAAACAAAACAAAACAAAACAAAACAAAAAACTTTGATGATCAACCAGCATAAGCAGACAGAGAAGGCAGTCTGGGACCCACCTCAGAAATAGCTGTGACTCAGATCCAGTCCAGTCGGGCCACCCTCTAAGTTTTAGAACAGTATTAATTTCCCTTTTTCCCCCCAAGATAATAGTAATAATTAGTTAATCAAATTAAGAGAGAATTGATAGACAACTCCACAATCAACATCTTGAGGAAAACATAGTCATGCAGATTTTTAGAGTCAGGCTTTTAAAAATATAATAAACCTTTGGTCCACAGCTCTCATTGAGGTCTCCCTGAAGACTGGCCCATGTACGATTTCAGTACAAGCTAGAGTTTTAGTAATTAAGCACATACTTCCAGCAAAGCAAGGGCAAACAAGGGGCTGGGACACTCATTAGGTGGGATAATAAAGGGCTGGCCTTCATCCATCAGCATTGCTGAAATTAGGACTTGTTAACAGAGCTGCTGTTGGTACACAACCTTGTTCATGACCACATTTGGTAGATCAACTTAGAACGTGAATTTTAGTTATTTTTAGAGGAAAGCAATTAGTTAGTTAAAAGCATGCCATTTCCCAGCAAGAGTTAGGTACTTTATTATTTTGCAATCTTCTCTAATGTTAATAGCTTAAATATTTACCAGGGGCTTTTGGGCAGTTCCCATCTTTCATTGGAAAACTTTGTACTGAACCTCTCCATATGGGTCAGAGTCCTCACTCAGCAGGTAATTCCAGGATCAACAAAATTCCTGAGTTAGCTACATCCTCTGTTTTTTCCCCTTCTTGCTTTCAGCACAGGAAAGACTCAGAGTCACCCTGTTTGGCTCTCTGTAGACGCCACAGGAATTAGAAATCACTAATTGAAAGGATCTCCCTGCAACCCATTTTTACTATAAAATAACCATGGAAAGCTCTCCTTAGGAGAGGGAACAGATGGCAGTCGCTTTAAAGCATCGATGCCAGTCTAGCATGAGATGTGACAGGAACAGGTCGACCTCACAGGATTATGGTACCAATGGAATAAAGGCACTTTGTAAAAATGGTGAAGTACTTCACACACAAAAAGAGTTCAGCTTTTAACTTAGATGTATTTGATGCCTAAATTAAACCTCTTTCTAGGATAACAGAGTTCCCTCAAAATGTAGTACTTCTGGCACACAGATATGAATAGCATTGCTACTAAAGAGACTGAAGAACAGATCTATCCCTGCTTTGGGAGACACTTTAGTAAATGCCCCTTCTGCCTGGCCAACAGTGGTTTCTAAACCTATCCTGAGAAGAATGTCCTCCTCTTGCATACACAAGCAAGGATTAACCTCCAGAAAGATCTCATGAATTCAGCCCCATGGAAATGGCATCCAGCCTCAACTAGTTAGACACATGGAGAGCACCTGGAGAAGCAAAGTAATAGGTGCAACACATTCTTATCAACATCCTTCTCCAGTTCATCCTCATCTCCTGGATGCTGTTTTTATGTGGATTTTGTTCCCCTACATTCCACCTCACTCTTGTCAGAAAGAGAACAAGTGCTTCAGATAAGGATTAAAAAAAAGGCACTACTACCAAACATCCCATAATAGGATGCACCAAAAGATGCCTCCTCCCTACACGTGTCTTATTCCTTATAGAAGTTAGGTGCAATCCTAAGACATCTACGTCCAAGCAAGGTCTACCTAGGATTTCCTCTTTCTTCTTCTTTTTTAATTAATTACTTTTTTTGAAAAGCAAATTTCTTTTTCATATTTTTTGTTGTCAATGGACCTTTATTTTATTTATTTATATGTGGTGTTTAGAACCCAATGTCTCACACATGCTAGGCAAGCACTCTACCACTGAGCCACAACCCCAGTACCCACTTTCTCTTTCTTGTAGTACCAGGGGTTATGTTTTGTTTTTGTAGTGCTGGGAGTTAAACCCAGGGTCTTACCCTATGCTAGGGAAGTTCTCTACCACTGAGCAACACCCTAACCTCTTCCAGGTCTTCTGGAAATAAATGAGAGCCTTGAATCTTGCACCAGTGTCTTAGGGTGTCCCAAGAAAACACCTGATCGTTAGCCTGCCCACATCACACTGCAGGTCTCCTGAGGAGCTTGAATCTGCCTCACTTGGTCCCCACAGTTGTATTTTGGTGGTGTCAAATAGGACTAAATAAACTGTGAGCAGTGGCAAAGGTTAAATTGGACCAATACTGTACCAATAATTTTTTTTTTTTTTTTTTTTTTACTGGACATCAGTGGAAGTTGTCCTGTGCAGGTCTAATCTACTGAACTCCATTAAACTCCCAGGAAGGGAGTGTGTGGAGGCCTGAGAGAAGAAAGTGAGGCATTGACAGAGAATGGATAAGAATTTACTCCTGGTTCATTTTCATGAATTTATACTTTTAGTCATCTTTGTGACAATCCAGAATGTACTGTAACTAACATTGACTCAACTTTCATTGGTACACTTTAAGTCTTAACCAGCACAGAATATCAATATTAGAATATTAGGTTATAGAACCCCCAAAGAGAGATTAATTAACACATGAGCTTTTGCCATTCCAGTTTATTGAAATGAGTAAATTTGTAGCTTTATTTGCATACAGAAAAGTGCACAAGAAAACAAGTATGTACAGAACAGTTGTGTGGCTGATCATCATTTTCAAAAAAATTCAACTACCTAGTTATCTCCAGTTTTAGCATGTTTAGGTATTTGGACTTTTAAAGTACTATTTCAAGTCTGTGTTTATATGACTCAGTAGGAAGCCAGACAGAAATTTATGCCATATATAATCAGCTATTACCATTAAACATAAAACCACAGGACTTCAGCGGGACTACTTGGGGCTAATCAACAGAAGCTCACAAGGCCACCGTGTTGCTTAAATCCTGATCAGCTGTCCTCTTCTTCCGCCTAAGGTAACATTGCATGTGGTTGAGCAGGACCCACAAAAACCTGAGCATTAAGGTCCAAGAGATAACATTTAAAAAATCCAACATAAATCTTGTTTTGGCAAGAACAAACCCTTCAGAACTGTGCTAACAATAGGACTGAAAATGAACTGGGAAATTTTCCAAGGTTATGAGGAGGAAAAAAAAAAATTGCAGACATTAGATTTTTGAAGATAACCCCCAATACTTGTCCATCACCTTTTCCCCTGCTATTTATCTTCCTACTAACAAAGAGACTGTGGCTTCAAGAAAGTTTTCCAGTTACGTGATAAAGGCCTAGCATGGCCCCCAGTAAGAACCCAGTGTGTCTGGCACAGTTCCTGCTCTTCAGAATACTGTCCTTCACTGCTGAGTTGAGATCAATTTCTCTTCCACATTAACTGCTCTTCTGGAATGTCAGCTCAAGAGGAGGGTTGCCCCGTCCACAGGAAGGATGCAGGTTATAACTATTTGCAATTCTACTTTCTGGGACTAGCAGTTACCAAGGAGAAACACAGGCCTCAGATCTGTGAATCTATCTTTCTTTCTTTCTTTCTTTCTTTCTTTCTTTCTTTCTTTCTTTCTTTCTTTCTTTCTTTCTTTGCCCATGAAAGTCTTTGCTCACAAAAGGGAAGTAATGGTACATGAAGCCAGGAAAAAAATAGACATGAAAGACAATCAGAGAAAGAAGGCAAAGAGAGGTTAATTATATTTTCCCCTCATCTGCAATAGCTAACAGGAGATTAGGAAAAAAAAAACCTTGGCCTTGGAGAACCTGATCTTTAGAATGAAGAGAAACTATTATTTTTTTTTAAAAAAAGATCCTTAGATATATAAGGAGGAGTTGGACTTGCTTCCATTTTATTTTAAAAATTCTCTGTCAGAGATGGTCTGAGACAAGGGCCTTGTCCTACTAGAACCTTTAGGTTGTAGAACCCCCTAATGACTTTGTGCAGCAAGGACTTGGAAATTTGCTGAAAACAGGGTGTGATGTGAGGGACTGTGGTGGCTGCATCTCCCAACCAGAGTGAAGAACGTAGAATGTCCTGGAAGGTTCTAGGATGACGATAGGCAAGGACTCAGTAGGGAAACTACTTCATTTACATTTAAAACTATAGAGTTTGGGAACTTAATTTACTTAAAGCCATAGATTCAGTTTAGCTTTAGCCTAGACAGAAAGTGAAAGGCATTTTACAAGTGGAAGAGGCAATGAGAAATAAGGCAACAGATAACCCATCAAAGCTGGGACAAGGACAGAAGTCAGGACGCATCTGGCTATTAGCTTTGTCCTTGACTACGAAGGCCAACCTTTATGTTCCTCTGGATAGTCAGCATTCCAAGTTCCTAAAGAAATATGAAGAAGAAGAAAAAAAAACGTTGCAATTAGAAACTTTGGATTGAAAACCATGTACTAAATATAAAGTCATTGCATCTCCTAGGGCTGATGTGAGGACGGAATAAGAGAGTAAATACAGAACATGTGATGACATGATTAACATCAGTGCTCAACAACATCCGCTATTTTCTCCTATGACCATTCTCCCCATGGACTCTGCTAATTTAACAGGTTGTTATTATTACCACTGTTAATCACTGATTGTGCCTTTAATCAATTAAACTTCATCATAGGTGTGCATGTAGAGGAAAGCACATAATATACATAGGATTTGGTGTTCTCCATGATTCCAGGCATCCACCCGGGGGTATTGGAGAATATCCTGTGGGTAAGCAGGGATGAGAGAATATTGGAGAATATCCTGTGGGTAAGCAGGGATGAGGGAAGAATACTGTTAACCTAATCCTATTGTAGACATCACATTTAAGATATTATCTATTGAACATAATCTAATTATAGATGGATCAAGACATAGTTTAGTGGCCCTGTTTGTTTCCCCTTCATTCTTTATATTGTTTTATCCCAACCAGTTTTACCCTGCCTTCTCTAAAATGGAGATACATGTCCTTTTCCCTCCTACCTTCAATCTTTCAAGATCAGAACCCAGTTTCTGCCATTTACTATTGAAAAAATAGTAGGTTACACTGAGTCCTCTCAGGGATTTGGTTGCAGGTAGTTATTCCTAACACTTGTTTACAATAAAATCCACTGGAGAAGACGAATCCACTTTCTCACTCATTTCCTCTTTCACTGCATCTGAAGGTGATATTAACAGCTGTCACTGCTTTCACAGTTAATCCCATCAGACTACACTGCAGGCTAATCAAGATTGTCACAAAGAAAGAAATGGTATCTGTTTAGCAGACTTGTTTGTTGACTTCAGAAAGTCATTAGAACTTGAAGCTTAGAGGAAACAAAGTTATTACTAGGATACTTTGTAATCACTTCAATATGAATGTAAAAAAAAAACCCTAGAAAATCCCGAATATATGTTATATTAAGTTTTACATACAGAACTGAAATATCAAAACTATGAGATGAAATAGAAATTCATTTCCCATAATTATATTATGATTTTTTTAGAATTTTGCTCTCAACTTCCAAGTCTATCATTATTGAATTAGCAACCTATAGCTTTCCATGTCTAGAATTTCTGAATTACAAATATTAAAGTCTTCCTAACTTTAAAATCAAAATCACACCCTTTGTTTCCAATGTCATCCTCTCTCACTGTTCCCCAATCCTCACCATGATAAACTTAAATAGCCATTTTCTACTTACATAAGTTAGGCAAAAGGATTTCCAAAAGGATCCCTATGTACATCAGAACATTTGGGTTGGGAAGCCACCTAAGGAGAAAAACCATCCAGGCGACAAATACAATTATAGTTATAAGACAAAATAAATAAATAAATAAATAAACAAAACTTATCATAAGATTTCTTAAATTCCTTTAGAAATCACTTAGGTCATATACCAATCAGACATTGTACAGGTTTACAATGATTTTGTGCCCCTCTGCTTGTAGAGGGTTATATATGTTATTTATTCATAATTAAGACTCAGGTAAACTACATTTGCTTCCCTCAATGGGAAGTATTATTTTATGAGCTATAAAACCATGGGTGGGAAATAAAGATTTTAAATTTTTAAAAAGTTTTAAAAATAGTACTTTTTCTCCCCAAATCCTTTCAGAAGCTAGATTGAATGAAACATGAAGGATGTTCTCTATATAATAGTTTCTAAGTAGTTCCTGTAAAAGTAGTCTTACCCCAGCCTGAATAGATGGTTATACTGCAATAGTTCTCAGAATTAAGTCTTAGTGAAACAGGTTTTATCACCAAAAAGCTATTATGTATTATTATACATAATTAACTTTGGAGGCTGTAGCTTAATGTTACTTAAACTTCGGAGCAATGACTTTTAGGAATTGATACTTACAGAGGGTTGTGATGAACTGAAGGGATCCTTAGAGAAAGGGTTCTCAAATGCATTGTTAGCAGATTTGGTAACTGGCAGGGTACCCTGTCTGGGAGATGGCTTTGGTGGTTCTAGAAGGTGAAAAATCCAAGCAGTCAGTAGACAAATATAACACACAGCTCCACAGTTACTATCTCTGAAATTTAGTTCCATACTTCTGAAATTTACATCAGTGGATTAAAAATCACCACCAAAGACTAGACCTCTCAATGGTTACTAAAGGAAATCCACCCTTATCAGAAGAGAAAGCTATGTGTATTATCCGAGGTGGAAGAGATTTTGTAATTCCCTTGTTGAAAGCCCTGGAATATTGATGAGGCTTTATTATACACACAGCCCTCCAAATTCCACAATCCATTGCATTTTGATAGCTCTTGGCAGGTTTTCTAAGAACTGTCACTAGAGGGCAGCATTATACTATCCCTTAGAATCTGCCTAGCTAAATGATTGGCTCAAAAATCAATCAATCAATCAATCAATCAATCTCCATAACCATTGAATAGCAAAAGAAGCCAGAGTAGGACTACTGGTGGGTGGGGGAGGTCTCTTCTGAGTGACCTGAGGAACCCTTATAGCTACAGTAGGCAGAGAGATGAGTAGCTTACCATTGATTTTGTTCAATAGTTGATTCGCATCAAAATCATCATGGTCCGCATTCTCCTGAGGAATGCCAACTTTATTGTTGAAATAACTAGAGAAGGCACTTGAAGTCCCAGAGGGAGGCTGCTCTCCCTTCCTAGCGGGCACAGCAGGTGGCTGCCGCAGTTGGAAGTCCTTAAACATTTCTTTCACTTCCTTGACTTCTTTATCTCCAAGTGGGTCTAAGGCGGTGAAGGCATCACTAGGAATGTCCCTTGGAGGGCCTGTTCTAGGAGGTGGCTGAGGAGGAGTGACCAGGGGAGAGGACAGCATAGAGGAGGACTGAGCAGACATAGCAGGAGGAAAAATATTGCTCTGAAAAGGATTCCCCAAAGGGCTTGTTGATGACCAATTGTTGGGGGCCACAGCTGTAGAAGAGCCCCAGATGGCAGGGGCTGGAGGGGTATTTGAGGCCCCGAAGGATGAAGGCTGGGTCCAACTTTGAACTGCTGGGCTTGCACCAAAAACCATTGGCTGGCTGAAACCTGTAGGTTGGCCACCCATCATGGCTCCTGGGATCATTGACGTAGACTGATTGAAGACCACCGAGGGGTTCCATGGTCCCGCCTGGGCAGGTGTGACTGGCACACCACCTGAGAGAAGAGGGGGAAAAATACTCCTCAGGAGTCAAGCCTGGAGAGGATTCCTGAATTTAAAAAGCACGACTCTCCAGGGAGCATTTAACAGAGCATCCCCAGGGCAAATACCTTCATTAAGCCTTGAAGCTAGCAAGGAAATAAAGATTAAATTACTCCGAAGGTTAACTAGCTAATACAGCATAACTAGCATTTGAGTGCTGGTTGCATTTTTTAGGTTTACATGGTCTTTCCACTAGGTTTTTTTACCTTCCTCATTAGAAGGATAGTACAATCCACAAGTACTAATCGTAAATAAACTGATATATCTGAAACAGCTAGATCAGAGCCTGTCAATAGCAGGAACTAATTTGTTGAGTGAACATAATTTGTGTTCACAAACCACATTGATTATGAAATAGTTATTTAAGATAATCCATTGGATTCTCTGAGTCATCAATTTGACCTTTGCTTTGAGCAGCTGGTTTTTGTCTGGAGACTTATGGAAACCAGCTATCACGTATGTGCATAAGGCCCCAACGTGCGTTCATCCTGAAGAAACCATTTCAAAGTTTCCTTGCTTTTTATTGCTGCCAAAGTTGACACAGCTATATAAAGGGAAGATAAAATTTAGCTGATGCCAAGATAGTTTTAGACTTTTATATGTAAAGATGGAGGAAAAGCTATTACCCTAGGAAAGCTGTTTCAAATAAAAGTGTTTCCTGCCATGTGTCACTCACTAAACCTTGCCAGACTTTAGAACAGACCATTTAAGTGAGAAAGGGAGGAGAGAAGACAACAGGAAACAAAATGCTCCCCTGGTAAGGAATGGCCTGTGTCAGGGCACGTGATCTTGGATCAATGGCTCCTTTGCTTGCATCCTTGCAAAAAATCCAAATCTCTTAAATTTCACTGTCTCTTGAGAGACTTATTCCTGCATCTTGTTCTAATATACAGGGCATTTTCTTTTCTGCCTCTGGCCAAGTATATTAATGAATAAGTCTAACTGTCACCACTGAAAAACACCCTCAATTCAGCCTCATACTTTTTCATGAATGATGCTGATGTTCTGCTTTTGAAACCTATTTGCTTTGAGATTCGGAGAATAGCATTCTTTACCTATGAATTTTCTAATCCAATTAAGAAAAGGCCATTAAAGGCCACTTGGGCGAGGAATACTTTTGCTTCCAGAGTGATATATGCTTTAAAAGAATGTTATTTTGCAGGTGATGTAGCCAGATATTCTCACTTAAATCTTCTTAGTATTTGCATCTTCTATGCCTAGGAATGTGGCCATCTGGCCAGAAATAAATTCATTGTTCTCACAGAGTGGCAGGTTTCAAAAGAGGTTCCTTCACTTAATCAATGTTCTTATTTTCAAGGATAAAGAATACAATTAAAATTGGATAAAGAATCAATATTCTTATTTTCAAGGATAAAAAAAATATAATTAAAATTGGAGTGGTCACAGTCTGTGACCATAGGGACAAGTTCAGGCACACGGGTACCAAACCCAATACCCTATCCTCTCACTCTGCCTCATTGATAGGAAGGTGCAGGACTTTTTGTTGTTGCTGTTGTTTCCTAAATGGTATATTAATTCAAATTCTAATTTAACTGACACATAAGTTAGACTTTATAACAAATCAATGGACAGGTTCTCTTAGATTCTATAACATAGGCCCTAAAAGCAGATTTAGTTTGAACAATAATTGCCATTGTTTTAAAAGAAATGTATTGAAATTTCATTAAAGGAAGCCAGAGTCCCTCACTAATAGTATCTACCAATTAGATGTGCAAGAAAAAGGAAGTCAAATTTTATCATCTTTTATGTTGAACCACTTCCCATTCCTTAGGAAAACTCATGGCTTTGGTCATAGATCATGTCAGTGGGAGTGGTGTTTATAAAAGAGAGAAATATGATATTTGCCAGGAATTAAAGGCTCTCCCAGGATATGCTTATGCCAGCCTTCATTTCCACCCACCAGATTGTACACAATTGTGTTTCCGAAACATTTATGGCCCAGCTGGAGAAAGTAGGGACAAGAACTAAAGAAAAAGGGTGTGTGGGCATGAAACACTGATTTTATTACCTTCTGAAGCTAGATCAAGACACAGGGCAGCAAGTCAAAGCAGAAGGCTCAGCTTTGTATAATGCCCTCTCCCCACCCCCAGCTCCAGGGGAGACAGTCCCCCAGCTGGGTCTAGCGGAAGCCAGACCTACAACCTTCCATGGTTTGGCGGAGTATCCCTGCTGGTGGACAGGGGCTATACTGTAGAGCTCAGTTTGAGTTCCATGTCCAAACTTGGAAGAATCATCAGTATTCTGCAGTTGTATACCCCAAGGCCTCAACAGGGGCACCTAGCCAAAAAGCTTCACTTCGTCTGAATAAATTAACAGTTATAGGGTCCAGCTGTATTTTCAGGCTGACTTGTTAAATATTGGCTGTAAAAATTCCTCAGGGCATTGATATTAGACTACAAAGCCCTGGGATGTGATCTAGTCACAGCACTGCATGCAAGTTCTCTGCCATCCTGCAAGAGACAAACGCCTACCTACTCCACTTGAGGGTGTAGGAAAAAGAGCAAAAGAGGAAGGGGAAGACCCCCAGAGACACAAAGTGTTTAGGGAGAGCCTCTTGATGGTGTCAATGCCACGCAGAGACAGACCTGGAACACATTGGCTTCTTATACTCACAGGGATTTCAGCCACTCACTATCTTCTTTCTTGCAATCCCCCTCCAGATATGATTAAACAGATTTACTGTGGTAGATCTAAAATATTTTCCTTTTCAGTCAGGAAAAGAGGGGGAAGAGAGAGACAGAGAGAGTGGGGGCAGGGATAGAGGAGATCTTGGTGACTGATTCTGCAGGAGGCAGAGAAAGCCAAGATCCTGGTCAAATTTATCAAAGGAGAAGGAGAGTTTTTCTTCATTTATGGTCCCCCACCACCTCCCAAGCCAGAGACTATTTGCTGTTTGTAGAGGGGCCAAGAAACAGAAAAACAGAGACCCCAGCAGGACAGCAAAGACTATTGTTGAGGTTTCTGAAAATTGTACCATAGAATCTGAAAGAGTTGGAGGTTGTGGATGAAGAGTAGCGGGACCAGACCTCATCCGGTGTTTTTGCATCATCCTGTAGCAGAGAGGCCTGGTGGCTCATAAGAGCCAAGGATACCTTTATGAACAATGGCACCAGCATGACCTAAGAATCTGATAAAATTCTACCTCTTCTGTAGCTGTTCTCCTTCCAACTTCAGCTATCCACTATTTACCTCTGACTACTATGACACTTGGCTAGCAAAATATTAGCAAGGTGGAAATATTCCAAGACAGATCAGGATGTATGCCTAGGAGTAGAGCGTAGCCCAGAACCTGGCCTTTGATTATATGACTACTTTAGACTTAACATCTCTCCTGGGGCACATAATGTTTTAAAAGGGGATGCAGGCACGAAGAGGTGATAGGTCTGCAATCTGTTATGGGATGTAACATGGAAGACATGCACGTTACTATTTTTCCAACACAATTGACACAGATGGCAGATAGGCAAGAGGCTCTTGCATCTCTTCTCCTCTGTATCACTGAAGCTGATCTGAGCATCACAGTCTCACAACTGTCTTCCAGGAGCCATTGCAAATTAATTCAGGTACATGCGATACTGAAAATGGATCTCTTATCACATGCCAACTTCAGAAGCCACATTTCTATTATAAGACAAGAGTATCAACTGGGAGTGGATGGCACAGGAGTAAAAGTGGGAGAAGGGCTGCCTAGGCAGTCTAATCTTTTATCCATGGAACCCTGCATGGATAGGAAGGTCCTTCCTTCTGCACATTTATTTTATGAGTGACAGTGACAGAGCCATACCTAACTCTATCTCTAGGCACCTACCTAGACCCACAAGGGGCCCCACTGGGGCAGGAGAGCTTGTTTTGAAGAGGTCCAGAGGGTTGGTCTGTGGGGCTGCAGATTGTCCTGTGGGTGACGTCTGGCCTGGAGGTTCTGAGACCGGAGGATCAAAGATATCTGATGCAAGCAAGTCATTTGCTGAAGACTGACAGGGAGGGAGGAGGAAGAAGAATTATTCAGCATCAGAGAAATACATCTCTGCTATGTCTTTTATTCTTCACCCCAAATTTGAGATCCACAGGAAAAAAAAAAAGTTTTCCTATTACTGATTAAAAATCAAATAAAACAAAACAAAAAATAATGGGGGTGGGTGGATAAAAGATACAAATGGCTGCAGTGGACTAACTATTGAGGTCTAGTGACTGATACAATGTAGGATTTGTGAAATGAAACATTTTACTCATATATACATTTGTATCACTTTGTTCTCCTTGGCTAGAAGCTTAAAGCTGGGAAAAGAAAGGACAAACTCCAATTAAGCATCCTAAAAAACCATGATCATTCTATTGCATTTGAATCAGCCTACATAGAGATGATAAAGTCTTAATTATTATGCAAACCTACATATTCCTATGAGAGTTTCAAAAAGATACCTATAGAAACTACATTTTCAATTGCTACTGAATGAAACTGCTTAATGGTGCTGGGAATAGTACATACTTAAGTTTCTTCTAGAAAATGGGTTAGGAAACCAATGTTTAAAAGAGGAGACAAGCTTGAAAATTTTATCCCACCACCGTGGACATAAATGCAATAGGCTGGGTGTGCAGGGCAGGTGTTAGTGTGGGGAAGAAACAAAGGGAGTCGCCAGGACTCTTGCCCTCCCATCCCAGAACATGACGATCAAACTTACCAGAGGTATAGAAGCATAGCAGCATTAAAAAAAATGGAAAAACTTGTGTTTAGTTTTAGTGTTAAGAGACAAGACATGCAAACGGAAGGAAGGCAGGGTGTGACAAACACTGCTGAGAAGCTTAGAAAGACTGGCGATTAGAGGAAAGTATTCCTGGAGAACCGATCGATGTGCCTTATCCCACCTTCTAGTTTACAGCCACACAGGAAACTACAAGACAGCAGGAAAGCACTTGCATCACACCACCCTCTGGTACCGAACATGCATTCTGCTAATGGCTATGTGGAGAAGACAATTCACCTTAGCAGTCCTTCTGCCTCTTCCTGGTTTGGTACTTTGTGGAGGTGGGATAATGGCTATGGAGTCATGTGCTGAGGACTGGACAGAGCTTTCCAAGTCCTGTTTTACGCCATTCGGTACAGAGAGTCCTTTGGGAGGGCTTCCCACGAAAGGGTTTGGGGAAGATTTGATTTGGAAGCCGTTCTGTTCTCTTTCAGATACCCCATTTTGAGTTCTCACCGCTGGCTGGGTTTGCGTACTTGAAAAGGGCCACGGGCCTGCCTGAGCTTCCTGTTTGCCAGTCCGGTTAGAGATTTGGTCAAATTGCTGACCAAAGTAATCAACATCCCCATTCAGGGGCCCATTACTCAGTGGAGTAGACAAGCTACTCAAATTCTCTTTCTTCTGATCTGGAGATTTGAGAGAATCAAACGAAGAGGGTGTCGATTGGTCTGGCTGTGCAAAAGGATCATCACGGAAAGGATCAGGATTGGGGGTGGGAAAGAAGTTGAGATTGGCAGAAAAGGCATTTTCAGGCGAGAAGGATGCCTGAGGCTTTGGTCGAGGAAGAGAGCAGGAGGTGATGCCATTTGTTAAGAACGGATTTTCTCTTAAAGAATTCTGATTGGTGTCGATTTCAGAGTTTAGATCCACTAACAGGATATCTTTGCTTTCCTATCACATTTGGAAAGAAAAAAAAAAAAAAGAACATGTGTTAGTCCATGTTAATACTTCAAACGAGAAAACTACATAAAATGACCAGGACTATCAAAATTCCCATTCAAATTTGATCTCCATAAACTGGTTGACTATGATCTCCTCCCATTAACTCCTAGAAAGTGTTTATTAGCTGTGCACTGGTGTGTGTGTGTGTGGGGGTGTGTTTCCCTGCCCCTCTCTCACCCCAGTCCCTTTTCTCTATGCCTCAACTTTTTTGGCCCTTCATGAAGTGAGAGCTCACGGTTGCTTAGTTCATGTGTCTACTCAACTTATTTCACACCCACAGCTGGGCTGAGTTCATTTCCAGCATTGTTTCAATTCATGCCTAACTTGGTGTCTTAAAGAGTATTGATTGTGTCACTCTAAATGATTACCTGAATATGCTGAGCCTAAGTGTCAGAAGTAACTTCATAAACCTGGCCCAGCTTCTTACCTGATGTATAATGGTCTTATCTATTGTACCTCTAGAGTCATTAGCATCACATCTCCAAATAAGTGAATTCACTGGTTAATGCATTCATGTTTTATAGTCCTGGTTATGACAAAGTTTGCAATCTAATGCATTTCCCTATAATTGGTCCATTTCTCTATAATTGGAGAGAGGTGGTTCCTTTACTATCACAGCCAATTGTTATGCCTCTTTAAATACTGAAGGCCCTTATTGAAGATGCCAGTCAAGGTGGACCCCTCTTTCGCACCACCCTAGTCTCTTCCCTGTACACACTCTTATTGATGTATATCGTTCTGTGAAAGTTACACTCAAGATACTGGTTTCATCTCATGTATCATATATTAACCTCTAGTATTTATACATTTTTTTTTCAGAATGTGGCTTCCAGTTGTCTGTGTGATGGCAGTAATCTCCTCTATTGAGTGCAAGAACAATTAATGTTTTGCTTTTGCATGAGTTAGAGATGTAGATATAAGACAATCTAGAAGACAATAGAATGCCTAATTCTATTTTCTCTCAATTCTTTTTCTGGTATGTTGATTTTATTTGGTTTCTCTGCTGTTATATAAATGTCTTCTCAACATAAAAGCAGCAAATATGATGAATTTGACATATCTTTATTTGAACCAATGACATAAGTAATTATGATTCACCTTGGGATAGGGGTCTCAGTCTAACAGCCCTTCTTTCTGACTGATTTCAGCTTTTAAATTCTTAATTATGCTAGCCGTAGAAGATCATAAACAATAAACTTGCCCAGCTGAAGAGCAAGTTAGAGTTGACATTTAGCATTACTTTGGGGAGAGTACTAAATATTTTGACCCTTGGGACAATAACAACTTTAAGGAAATATTAATTTCTCAAACTGGTAAGAGCAAAAAGGGCTCAAGAATGTCTCCTTGGCTTTTAGAGAAAAGAACACATTTTTTTTACCAGTTGAGATGTTACTTTGTGGCCATAGAAAAGACAGCAAAATTAGAGCTAGACGGTATTTATCTTTTGGCTCCCTTTACTGCAGGTATAAAAACACTATTTCTAAAAGCTGTACTTTTTCCTCTTTGTAACTAGAAGAATTTGTCACAAGAAAGAGCTTGTAATTTAATATAAAATTTAATCAAAGAAATGGATTGGAAGACTTCTTAATGAAAGGATCCGTAAACAATCAAAAGGGAGGATAAAATGTATTTCAGAAGCTTGTGATTTCAGTATTCGTTCATTATGAGCCACCTCTAGGTGAGGACAGTTGGTGTTCACAGCTGGTAGAGTTCTCCTTTTCAATTATTACTTCAGAAGAAGTTCTTAGGACACCAATCGGGAGCCACAATGTTAGACTTCTGAATAGTCACCCTACAAGTAAAATGTATAAAGCTCGCCTCAGGTTGGGTTTGCTGTTGATCCAAGATTGAGAGTCTAGTCCAGTTAACAGACCACAACCTATGAGTGGACTATTTGTGATCCATCCCTTCTCAGAGCTTCATTCATGCTATGTGGGACTGTCAGCCCTCCATCCACCTGGCCACCGTGGGATCTGAGACAGGCCTGGATCTCTGAAGTGAATTACAGTCCCTGTTCTTAAGGAGCTATAAGCAGGTGGGCAGACAGTCAGGTGTCTGCACCAAGACCAGTTTTTAAAATGAGTTCCACAGCTCTCCTCCAGGTAGCTAATCTCACCTATCACACCAGATTGCCAAATTGAGGGCTTCCCTACTATCAGCTTTGGGTGGTATCCTGCCTCATCTGTATTCAAACATACTTCCTTAAACCAATTTTCAAGATGATCCACAGTAAGACCCAATTTGATTCTGGCCCAACACATTTTCCCTACATGCTTCAACGACCCAACTTAAATTCAGATTCTTTTCCCATTGATCTTTATATTTCAGTTTTACCTGTGTCTTCCCCAGAGCACCTTAGGAGTGTACACAAGTGTATAAGCGATACTAGAATGTTGCACCCGGATCCTAGATCCTATCCCTTGTACCCACATTTAATCTCTTTGATGGTGCATCATGCCTGGTTTATCTCATACTACCTGTTTTTTTTTTTTTTTTCTTTTCTGTAGTGCCAAACCCAAGGCCTCGTGCACACAGGGCAAGCATTCTACCAGCTGAGCTATATCCCCAGCCCCCACCTGTGCTTTCACATGGAAAAATTTTAAAGTTAACAAACATAAACTTCCTCCCCTGCCTTCTCTGCTCTCTCTTTTTCAAATAGTATGAAAGCATAATGCTCAAGTGCTTTTCTTTTCTTTTTTTTTAAAAAAGAAGTATTTACTAAGGGATGATGCTTAGTTTGCAATATGAACAAATTGCAGAGAGCTCCAGTCACTTCTAACCACTAATAAAGTCTAGGTGACTTAGATTTCTTTCTCAGTACACACCATCCAGAGCATTGTTAAGAGTTAAATATTTTTTGAATATGCTGGTTTTACCAAGTACAGATAAATCTGTGACCTATGAATACAGAGTCAATATGTAAGAGCATGTCAAAGTTTAACCAGAATGTTAGCCCTGTTAGAAAACTAACAGGGGTTAGCTTTCTCTTACTTATTAGCTACCATCTATTTCGATGGTATTTTATTATTTTAATTTGTTGCAAGTTTAACTAAAACTTGAATTTCTACAAATGAAAAGTTCTTGGAATGTAAGAAGTCTCATAAGAATGAGACACAGGATCATCCATGTTGTTTTTCACTTCCCTTTGCGAATATTCCAGAAGTCTACCAAAGTAGATTCAACAGTAAGTGCTTTCTTGCCTCTTCCTCTGCAATTCCACATCATATCTTGAGTGTTCTACTCTCTTTCAATATCTTGTTTGAGAGTTACACTTGAAAAGTAGGTTGCACAAGTATCAATTTCCTTTGGGGAGGGGACTACTAATAGTGGAAAGAGCAACGTTGTTTAGGAATCCAAAGGATCTCAGAGCTATGAAAGACCTTTCAGGGTCAGCTAGCTTAGGATTTCAAAAAGTTTATCTGTAGAACAGGAATAAATGTTATAAAGAATGAAGGGCTCTATAGACAATGGAGTCAGGAAAATGACTTTAAAAGACATTAAGTGGATTTCTCCATTGCAGGCTTCAGAAAATCCTTAAGATGCTATGGTGCAGTGAGATTCTTACATGGTGAGGGCAGAGAGGAGTGCACGAAGGCCCTGCTCCCATACTCCTCTCACTTGGGTGCTTATGGAGTGAGGATTCACAGGCCTGGAATTCTCTGCAATACTTGGGAAGTTAGAATCTTACCCAATCTCCCACCAATTGCTTGATGGTATTTTATTATTTTCACTTGTCACCCTTAATTAAGAGTGGCCTTCGTTTTGTAGACCTGTCTGATAATTTCTTCATATGAGAAAATCCTAGCTAGATAATTTTTCTCATCATTCTAGACTAATTCTGCTTGTCCAGTTATTGCCTTCTCTTTCTTCATATCCAAGTCTAGAATCTCCCTTCCTCAGAAGCAGTACTTGAACCTCTAAATTTGATAAATACCCTGTAATTAACATCAGTTAATATGCTTTGTGCTTCATTTTTTAATGTGGGTCTCCCTGATAGACAGCACATTTTATGGTACTGTGCATTTTACTTACTGCAGTGCCTCGCAAAGAGCAAGTACTCAAGAAGTTACATAAACAATGTAAGTTGCTAGAAGTCATTTGAAGTTGCATCAGTCATTTCATTTGAGATCTGTTTTAGAAGTTCTGAAGACCAGGGCTTAAGTCTTGGTTCTGCACCTCTTTATTGGGTACATAATGTTTTTTGTTGAATCATCATTTTCTTATCTATAACATTTGGTACATATCTAAATGGTTGATACATATTGATTAATGTTGAGAAGATTTACATACCATAATGTTCTATAAAAATGGGAGCAATTTTCTAAAAAGGACATTTTTTGGTTGAACATCACTGAGCCTCTTATTTACTTGAATTCTTACATCACAACAAGCTTTTGCTGCTACATTGCAACTGAAAAGAGTGGATGAAAGGCCAGGAAGCTTCATGATTAATCATCTAAATAGACAGACTTCCTTCAAGTAGGGTTAAGTCAAGGATTATATTCAGCTTCTCCTTCTGATCCTATGTCATACCAAGAAGGGTTTTATTGCCTGACCTCCTGCTCCTTCAATTGAACCTTTAAGCAATGTTAACATACGAATTAGTGCTGATAGGTTCCCACGGTGACTTAAAATTCAAATTTTAATAGTCTCTTACACTTTGTGTGGGAAAAAAAATCAGTCATCACCTTTTTAGTTTCAATAAAGATGCTCAAGATTTCTGGTAAGTTACCAATTTGAATTAGAGATGTCATTTCCATTACATTGCAAATTTAAAAACAAACACTTACTGTTGGACTATTTAGGTCAGGAGGTGTAGACATGTCCCCAAACAAATCCATGTGGTCCACACCCTTAAAAAAGTATTTGGATTAGATTCACATGTGTCTACTGAAAAGATTACTTTGTATAGTGTTGTAATAGTCTGTCTCCTAAACTAAGATTTAGGAAAATAGTTGTCACAATTTGATTTTCATTTAACTCACACATATTTAATATTATATTATTTAGGTCAGGAAATGTAGACATGTCCCCAAACAAATACATCTGGTCCACACTCTTTAAAAAAGTATTTGGATTAGATTAAGGTGGTCTACTAAAATGATTATATTGTATATTGACATAAATGTTACACTAATGTTTATAAAAAGAGCTGTTGTGATTGGATTTTCATATAGATCCAATTCAGAACTGGTATTAGCAACATCTATAGGAAGGAGAACCCATGTTCAGGTGAGTCAGAATCATAAATTATCACATACATACCAATTTCAGTTTGGTCCCTTGATCATCAAGATTCATTAAGGTCTCACTCCCATTCTGAAAAAATGGGAAATAGTTAAGGGTTTAATTGATGAATTTTCCTCTTACTGTATTGGCTTATTATGCAGTTATGACTTTAGCACTGATCATTTAACTACATGTTTTCCATGACCAAGAAGTCACAAATGCACAGTAATAAGGTAGAACGGGAGAGGATTTGGGCAAGGAGCAAACAAGGGCTTATACCCAATTCATAAGAGGTGGCAATTCTCTTTACCTCCATGGCTTTGTTGGCTTCTTCTGCCTGAAAAAAGATAGAAATTCAGAGACATTAGTATTTGTGGTTAAGAAGAGTTAAATAAAAGAACAGATATACTTTCAGGCTTACGAGCATAAGGAAATTAAGTCTTGCCTATTTTACCTATATCCCCTCTTATCTTATAGAAATTACTGAAGTACTAGATTTAAATTGAGGAACTAGATTTGACCTAGGTTGTCCTGTGTGATTCCTGTGACCAATATGAAACTTGTAGGGATTGGAAATCAGTACTACCTGTCTATAAAATTCACCCATTGCTTTAGTGGGAAGAACATAAGTTCTATGCTTTGAAGAGTCCTATAGAAGCCCCATCTACAGATAGGTCCGATATACATAGTACATTAAACATGATCCTGAATGTGGTTACAAATTCTAGGAAGCCTGTCTTAAGTAGGACTTGCCTTTTTCTTCTCTTCTTCCTTTTTCTTTACATTGTAGATAACTTGAAAAAGGTCTTTAAGGTCAATGACTAATGGCTCAGCCTAAAGCAAGAAAAACAACAACATTGTTATCAGCATTTTATTCTTAATATTTTCTGTGTTATCTCCATCAATTCGGTTTAGTATTGGTCTCTTAAAAACACACAAAAAAACCCAAACAAACAGAAAACCTCCTATTTCCTTCTCCTAATATATAGGGAGTCACCCCCACTCCACACCACCATTACACACCACCATTACCCTTAGATACATAAAGGAAGCAGGGCTAGTGAGTATTTAGACAAAAGAAGAGGTGCCATGACTATTTTCACAGTCTCTTCAAGGTTTCTGGGAGCAACTCACTATTGTTCTAAAATCAGCATTGACTTTAAAAGAACGTCTGTTCTCACAAACTTCGTGCCACATGGGTATCAATGACTATTTGTTAATCCAAAAACTCTTTAATGATACTAATGCTCTGGGTCATTATTTTACTCTGGGTCATTGTTTTACTCTCATTCATTTGATTATTCCCAGCAAGTTTTCTAGTTCTGTGACAGATACTTCTCTGCTCCACAGAGGATCAGTCCCCAAGGATGTCTCAAGGTTCACAGCTTACCTGTTGCCCAGTTTTTATGGCAAAAAACTGATGTTGGCCTTCTCCTCCACACACGTAACCAAACGCCCGGTTGTCTGTCACGTCACGGGCAATGAAAGAAATCTTATTTACTGGATGCTCATGCTCTATCACCTGAAAACAAACATAAACAATGATTTATTGAGTAAACTAGGGCTAGGGGTGTGACCCAGTGATATGAGAATCTATTTCTAGGCATCAGACACAGCATATATAAACAGGTTAAATCATCTGAATAAAGACTTTTTAGTCTCTAGGTAGAAAGTTAGAGCTACATGAATCCTTGCTAGAAAAGGCCCACAAGGAAGTAGGAACAGAGAACAAAAGTGGGAAGAATTTTCCTTCTTAAAATAATGACATTGAATCTTTCAATCCCAAAGGTTTGATGCCACACAGCAAAAAATGATTGAGGATAAGGATACCAAGAACCTCTAAAGGAAAGAGGGAATGTGTAACCCTTAAGCCAACCCAAGTAGGTCTGCTTTCTCAATTCAAAATCAAACTTATATCCCCAGGGTTCCTTGGACAACACCTCAGAATGGCCAAGGAATCATTCTGTATAGTATTAGAATAAGGATCCCCTGTTTTTTTCTGGAAGTTGTCAAGTGCTGTCATCAAGTTGATCATGGACTTGTCCTAGATGGTCTCTGTCATTATCCAGAAGTACATGAGGTGGGGAGTTCATTTCTCTTGACCCTTTCCAGCAAATGCAACAGGATTTGGCTCATCATGTATATTTATATATGGCAGTATGTGTCTTTTGTTCCCAAATGCCTCAGATCACCAAAAGATCGTATTTTAAGGAGAGACGGAAAGAGAATGCTCATGAGTGAAACCTGCCTCCATTCTCTGATGGGATTGAGGAAACAAGAGTTAAGAGTTGAAGGAAAAGGTTGGGCATTTATTTCAGAGGTAGAGCACTTGCCTTCTAAGTGTCAGGTCATGGGTTCAATCCCCAGTACCATGGGGTAGAGTGAGGGGAAGGGTTGAAGAATAATGATGGAGATGGTAATGTCAGAGGATCTGAGCCCAGCAGGCTGGGTGAGCATGCGCCAGGGAGCCTAGCTCTGAGTGTGATGGTGGATTTTACAGACTAGACAATGGGCATCTCCAGGAAGGGGTGGATAGTAACTAGAGGTCTTCCCACAGTGTGTTAATACAAATACAGTATTGTACACCAATGAAAATGAGCTATAAACAATATTTTAAGTGGATGAATCTTATGTTCATTAGGAAAAAAAATGCCCCAGAAGACTTGAAATAGGATAGCTTTTTGTTCAGTAGCAAAACTAAAACAAAACAAGCATAATTGTTCATGTGTCATGGAAACAGTAGCAATATCACACACACACACTCACACACATACTCACACACACACACTCACACACACACACACACACTCACACACACACACACACACTCACACACACTCACACACACTCACACACACTCACACACACTCACACACACACACACTCACACACACTCACACACACACACACTAAGGAAGGTTACTTCTGTGAGGGAAAAGACAGGTGGGGAAAAAAAAGCTAGATGTGTTTTAAATAATATTTCAGCTTTAGTTTAGTTGATAAGTTCACATGTGATCAATATATTAAAAATCAAAGAGAGCTTTGCATAGACCCATGAAAAAAATCACAAACCGGGAATTAGGGTTCATCGAGTTCTGTATGTTTGAGGTCCAAATAATGTGGTATTTATAGCACACCTGTGTTCATAGACTTAGATTCACATCTCTTATAGGAAATAAATTCCAATACAGGGTATCTTGACTCCACCTTCTATTGTGTTTTCTGCTTATTATTTCTGGAGAAATAATACTTGTTTGTTTTTTTTTTAAATACAACTTTGAGAAAGAAAAAAAAAAAAGGAAGCTGAAATCCAAGCAGCACATAATTTGTCACACTCAGGTGCTCAGGTAGGTGTCAGCGAATGTGAATTCTTACCCCAGTTTTCTCATCAATTATTTTTATCCCAGAAAGGGAAATGTTGACCCAGATCCTTTGTTTGTGTTGTCCCTGAGACCGTCCAGCTGCTGCCATGCCCTGATGAGATTGAAAAGACAAGAAAAAACAAATTTAAAATATCCTGCAGTACTATTAATATTAATAGTTAATAAAAATTAATAAAAAATTAAAAGATAGCTTTGTTTCCAACTTGGTTTGCCAGCTATGATAGGATGAGGTGCCTTTGATCTGGGATAAGAGGATGGAGTCAAAGACCATTGAGCAGGCATCTCTTAGCTGGGCAACTCAAACAAGTCACTGTAGTTCTCCTGGTAAAGAAAAGGGGACTGGACTCAAAGATCTTCAAAGATGCTCCTTCTAAGTCTTATATTGTCTAATGAGTACTGCCTGTTTAATCATGTCTACATAGTGACATAGTACTGAATTTAAAAATTTAAAACTCTGCAGGGATAACACTAAAGAACACCAATTTCTAGGTAGGGTCCTGAATCTTTTCTGAACACTTTCCAGGTGAAAAACAGGGTATCCCATACCCTCTGCACAACATCAGACCAGGCACACCCTTGCACATAGGTTCTATAATCAGTGAATGAGAGAAGACTGTTGGGCTTGTTTCATTCAAGCACCAAGTCAGCCAAAGTGAAAGGCATCCAGATCCCTGATATCCTTGATGAAACCAGGTCTCTAGAGCAGTGCTTGAAACGAACCAACTAACTCAGGGTTTCTCAGAAAATTAGACACAACCGGATCACTGGTGGGATTAAAAAATTTTCAAATCACTGAGATACAGGTAAACATGAGCTTTGAAAATAATCCTCTCTGCTGGTCCTTTAACATAAAGAAGACAAAAGCATTCTTCTCCTTTTACCTTGAGTTTCATCATGGAGTCTTGGCTCATCTTATCGCCTCGTGCATCTGGCACATCATCAATTCCAATTAGCTTGGCCTTGTATTTCACACCATCGCCTTTGAACCTTGCCAAGAGATACTCATCTGTCTTTTCAGAGCCTGAGGAATGAAAAAAATATAAGATAAAATTTTATTTAAATACCAGTCCTGGGTAAGACCAAATGTGCTCTGGAATCTCCAAATTTCGAGAAGCATTAATCTTGATTATACTATAATTTATCTTAAATGGAATATTTTATTCTGTCTTATTCTTTCTTCTTTTGAGCAAAATCATGCTCTGTAGTATTGAATATGGAGTTGGGGTGGAGATAAAATAAATTCTGAAAAATAGAAAATTCATGAGGGGAAACCATGGGAATATGTAAAGTGAGAGTTGGACTTCTTCATCTGAGTCTTTTAAAATTATATTATAAGGATTCTATTTTTTAGTGAGAAAAATAATTTACTAACATACAATTTACTAACTTTTTGAACTATCAATAAAAAAGGGAAATATAGATAATTTCCCTTGATAATAATTAAGGTAATTATCCCATAAAGATATCTTATTTTGCTCCTTTTAAAAGACCTGTGCAGTCTCATTCCCAGAACTAAAGGATAGTAGTAAAAACCAAGCAAGTCATGGCATATTCTCAGGCTTTGAATGATTAAGAATGCTGTAATTTTTTAAAAAATTTATTCTGATTTGTTATACATGATGGTAGAATGCAGCTCATTTCATATTACACATATAGAGCACAATTTTTCAAGACACTGGTTGTACATAAAGTATTTCCACACCATTCCTGTCTTGTTCATGCACTTAGGGTAATGATGTCTAACTCATTCCACCATCATTCCTACCCCATGCCTCCTCCTTTCCCCTCCCTCCCCTTTGCCCTATCTAAAGTTCCTTCATTCCTCCCATGTCCCCCCTGCCCAATCACCATAATGTGTCTGCATCCTCATATCAAAGAAAACATTCAGCCTTTGTTTTTTTGGGACTGGCTTGCTTCACTTAGCATTATATTCTCCAATTTCATCACTTTCTGGTGGTACTTTAGATCAAAAGAAAAGGGTCTAACAAGATACACATTTTGATTTTTAGAAATAGCAACTTCAATAAAACCAAGTGGTTGGTAGATCATTGAAAGGTAACTGATGGTTGTATTACTAACTGAACAAGACCCATGAAAGTTTCCAGCAGGACCTACGTTGGTGCAATCACACATCTGAAGACCAGTCTCATTACACATGAGGTGAACCTATCCCTTCTGCCAAAATACACCTTTGCTGTTTAGGGAAAACTGAGACTACACTAATGAGGCAGTCAGCCAAGAGGCAGTACTCATGGTACCCAAAATCTCACATTTTTTAAAAGGCAGAGGTGACCACCTCTAGCTCCCTTTAGTGGCCTCCGGAGGACTTTTCCATACCTTTCTTCTTCTCCTTCTTCGACGGTGCTTTTGGTGCAGCCTGTTGGTCAGGCTGACCATTGGTTGTGCTCGTTTCTACTTCGTTAGACATGGCAAAGAAGGAAAGCAGCAAACCCAGCACCAGCAGACACTTAATGACACCAGGCGATCCCCGATGGAGAGGTCTCAAATGAACATAACCTACAACACACACCTGTGGGCATATAATACATATGAGGCATGATGAGATCAGAACACAGAAAACCCAGAACCACTATAGCTAGTGATCCTCCTTCACAGCTCTGTGTACTCAGGTTATTCCTTCTTCTCTGTTAGCATGAACTCTGAGAGCAGGGAAGTAGGTAATAGGTAAGTATGTTTAACAAACCTTTCCTTAAATACTTGGTATCTGTTAAAATTTAATGATTATCTAGACGAATAGCTTGTATTAGAACTTCAGCATAAAAATCTAGTATTTAAGATAGGGATCAACAAACTTGCTGAGTTTCATAGCAAAACAGAAATACACTGAATGCAGAGTCAGCTAAGATTGTAACTGGTTTTAAAATTGAGAATTATGAATTTAATTCATAAATTTTTATCTACATAGACAGTGACAAGGGTAGGGTTATGGGATGGGGATGTTGCTCAATGGTGGAGTGCTCAGAGGGCATGTGCAAGTCTCTAGGTTCAATCCCCAGACCACACACTCTTGCCCACATGTGCACACACACAGAGTTATGAATTTGTCTTAATCATATTGATAAGTATTTTTTTATATACTAGGATTTTGCATTTGATCTCACTGATCTCCAAACACCACACTTTAAAAGGTGTCCATTTTTGACACTGACACATGTACCAGAGAACGAATGCGTGCCAATTGTGCAATTCACTGACTTTAAATACTTATATGCTATTATTTAGCATTACTATCCTCAAATAGTTGTATTATATGCTCTCATAAAGTTTTCCCATGCATCATAGTTTAGATAAAAGAGGGAAAAAAGTCATTGCAAGCCCACAGAAATGAACTAATGTTTCAAAAATTTCTTTGACTTCTCACTAGCCAAAGTGTTTATACAACTCTAGAGAGAGCTAGAGTATGAAGGTCAAGTGCAAACCAAAGGCAAAGAAAAGTCAGTCATTGTTCTATAATCCTGTAAAGACTACCTCTGAGCTAGAACCACTCCAGCACCACTACCATGAAATCACTCTTCATTCTGTGTCTATACTTCCAATTGATTTGAGCATTTAATGAAAAGGTCAAACCCACTGCATGGGAATGTATGCTATTGGTTAGACATCTTAAGGCAAAAGGTACACCTCAGGTTTTATTCAAGGGCTAAAAAGCCCTCTTCATAAATTTCAATGTGTTTTCTTGGAGGTCAGCATTTACTTCTTCCCCCTTTGAGTTTTTAAATGACCTTTATAGTTTTAGGAGTATATACATATGGATTATATGTATATAATCAATGTATGATCAATGTTATCTGAATTGTTTCATTTGGAAATTTAGTAGTTAATTTTGCTCAAATTCATCTGACTGGTAGGTAGCCAGGGAGATAGTCTATTTATAGTTGCAAGTCTTACATAGTAGAAGACTCGGTCTTACTTGGGCTGGACTTTTGGATGTCTTGATTGGTTTCAAGATATTTTGGGGGATTAGGCACTATTAGTTTTCTTTTTAATTATAGTAACTCCAAAAATTTCACAGCAGCTTTATGAGTGTGATGATCAAGCATTATTTCATTTTCCAGAGGAAAAGCCAAGGCACAGAAATGTTAGCACCTGCTAAAGTACAGAACCAAGTTTCTAGCCCATCAACTGGCTCAAAGTCAGAGTTCTTTAACAGGCACCAATGAATCTCATCTTAGAAGCCATACCGTAAACTGGGTGTGGTGGTGCACACCCATAATCCCACCTACTCAGTAGGCTGAGGTGGGATGATCACAAGTTTATGGCTAGCCTGGTCAATTTAGTGAGATCTTGTCTCAAAATAAAATTTAAAAAGGACTGAAAGTATAGCCCAGTGTTCAGTAGAAGAGTGCTTGCCCAACATGCAGGGGTCCCTGAATTCAATCTCCAGCGCCAAAGAAAAAAAAAAAGCGCCACATAATAACTATAGAGATGCTCTGTTATATATCATAGTAGATATGTATAAGTTGTAACACTGAACATATGGAATGTGACCTTATTTAGGAAAGGAATCTTCGCAATTATAGTTAAGATTCTGGAAATGAGATCATCCTGCATTTAAGAATTTCCCTAAATCCAATAGCAAATGCTTGATTTTAAAAATGTGCAAGTCTCTAGGTTCATCTGTTGCCCCAGCTCCTTGGGATCCCTTGAGCTTAAGAGTTTGAGATGAGCCTGAGAAACACAATGAGAACCCCATCTTCAGACAGTAAAAATAAAAATGGCAGAAGGAGATTTGAGGCACAGTGTCTCACAGAGGAGGTGATATGAAGATAAAGGCAGAGACCAGGGTGATGTGTCTACATACAAGGAAAGCCAAGTATCGCCAGCACCCACCAGAAGACAGAAGAGGAACATAGAATGGGTTCTCCCTCAGAGCTTCCTGAAGGAACCAAGGCCATGGTGTCCTGATTTTGGATGTCTTACCTCCAGGACTGAGAAAAAAATTAGCCACCCAGCTTGTGATAATTTGTTATAGCAGCTCTGGAGAAATAGAACACTTCCATTTTGGATGCCTTGATTGGTTTCCATGGTTTCTAAATTGGTTCCTTGGAGACATGGTAAATAAATCCCCTGGACATACCTATAACCTTCAAATTTCGGGCCAATAATCATTTTCTTAATTCAGAGATTTTTTTTTTCCCCCAAGAACAGTGGATATTTGCCCATGTTAACCATGTCAGAAAGTGAGATGAAGTTCTGATCTAATGAGACATAACAGTCTTCATCTTCTCTTCCCCCCAGTGAGTCCTCACTTTAACACATTTCTCAGATCTCATGTTAGAAATAAGGGGTATACTTCAGTGAGACCTAGTAGCCCCTCTGATTATCATCTCATAATCTGTTTTGGAATTAAAAATCTACAATCGATGACCTTGCACTCTCTGCCTTTTCCTATTCCCTTCTCTTCAAGGATTCCTTATCTCAACTTTCCTCTAGGGTTCAACTATAGTGGCTGATGTGTCTCCTGACCAAATCAAGCTAATTTGCTTTCAGTACTTTTGAGGGTATACTTTAGCATATATCAGAAATGAGGCTATACCTATGAATGAGGCTATTTCCCCCCTACTCTTCGCTCTTATGTTTGGCCAATTAAGATGACATGGATTTTTTTTTTTTTTTTTAGAATTAAGTTTCTCTAAATAAATAAACTTGAAAGCTTTCCACTCCATTCTGTAGTCGCTCTCCCTTGAATTTAGGACAAAGATTTGACTTTTTCATTTTTTATTTAAGGCTCTTAAATATTTTGCTTCACCTTAATTTTTTTCACTCCTGTATACCTACCTCAAGTTTATCATTTCTTTAGAATGGTTTATGGTTTTGACTTGAATTTGCTGAGATGCCCCTTACCCAACATCTGTCCCTCCTCCCCAGTTATTTATTTGTCCCTAAAGACAATAGGTAAAACCTAGCTCTTAAGTTTCCCCCCTTCCCTCTACACACACATGACCATCACCTTATTTTCATACAAGTCTGTCTACCAGTTTGTCTACCCTTGAACTGTCATCTTCTTAAATGTAGGAGACTCATTTCTCAAAGTCTGGCACACAGAAGCCATTTGTGGGAATGGTAATAAGGATGGTTGTAGGCATGCATATTTTCTTGCTTGATTGATATTTATATAAACATGTATGCATTACTTATTTCTTATCTTTCCTTTTTAATATAAGGTTTTGTATTTAGGTAGCAGATTATTCAGATAGGACTATGACTAAATTCTAGAAATGTTTCATGTAGCCCAAAGGTACAATTTTTTTAAATTTTTTTATTTTTTTATTTTTTTTTTTTAATGAAGCTTCCTGGTTTGGGGACAGGGTGAGAATATCTTTCTTTGAATGAAGGATAGTTTCAGATTGTTAAATGGAAACACTTGCTTTGGTGCAGAAGGAGTGGTTCAAATGTGTACGTTTTCAAATGTATATGTCTTCTAAGGAAAGCGATTTGTTATGGATGCTGAATAGCTGAAGGGGTGTCTGTGCCAGTTATTAAGTTGGCTTAGCTTCAAAATCCCCTCCTGTACCTTGCTTTGCGAGGCTGGACCTGGGACTCTGCAAACATTTTTCCTTTGCCATCTGGCTGCATGTGAGCTGTGCCAACAGCTGCTAGAAAGAGACTGCCAAGCTGGACAAGGGACCCACACATTTCCATCTGCATCAGGTGGATTTCTCCTCAAGGCCCAAAGCTCCTGTGAGTGTGATTCTTGATTCTCACAGAGGTTCTTCACCCTAGCGGCAAGTTTCTTCCTATAGCAGTGGCTGAATACAGTTTTCAGCATTTCCTAGACTTGCAGAACTAGCCTCACAGTGGTCTCCTTGGACACACAAGCATCAGTCCTCTGTTGCTCTCTTCCCAGCACCAGCATTCCAGGTCTTCAGAACACAGGGACTCCAGCTGTAGCTGAGTAGCACCGCTTCTCTTAGTAGTAGGCCAAGGAGACCCTGTCTTCCAAGTTTATAAGCTTTGATGATTCCAGCATCTTCCTTTTGACCTCTAGCCCTTAGGGTGGTGGTTATCTTTTGTATTCTGCTTATCCAGTGATGATTTTATGCTCCCCCTTTACCTTCTCAGTCATTCAGCTGACAATTTCACACCTGGTTAATACTAAGATACTTTAAAATAGCTGGTGTGGACTGAACTCTTAACTGATACAATGCTAAAATTAATCTGTTTTGATTTTATAGTTGAAGAACTATTCTTCAGGGTAATCTAAATATGATGGATACAAGTGTGTAATTTAAGAATACTTCCCTCTTCCCCCACCTCTCTCTCTCTCTCTCTCTCTCTCTCTCTCTCTCTCTCTCTCACACACACACACACACACACACACACACACACACTCACACATATATGGGATCTGAACTGAACTACATCTGTAGCCCTTCCTTGTATGCTTTTAAAAAACTACATTGTTTGGGAGATTTCAGGGCTATATCCTATTCTTTCTTTTTGGGATAAACTAGGAGCATTTGTGTAGCAATCCCTTCAAGTCTATCTTGCTCAAGTCAGCATTATGGA